TAAGATTTTATTTATTTGACACAGAGGGAGAGATAGAGAGCACAAGCAGGGGGAGCGGCAGGCAGGCAGGCAGAGGGAGAGGGAGAAGCAGGCTCTCCGCTGAGCAAGAAGCCCGATGCAGGGCTCAATCCCAGGACCCTGGGATCATGACCTGAGCCGAAGGCAGCTGCTTAACCGACTGAGCCACCCAGGCGCCCCAACCTACTGGTGGAATGTTAACGTTTCTCGTTTCTATATGAAGTTGGCGCATTGATAGGAGGAATGGTTTATTAGCTGGCTTTATGTTTTCATGGATTACTTTTTTCTATTCCTTTGTAGTCCAAAAAACCCTAAAATCCATGGGAAGGAACTCAGACCAAAGTGGTTTGCAGATATGTGCCTAAGAGGCTTTGAAAAAGTGGATTCATTTGGATACGTTGTGTCTTCCTCTCTAACATCCCTGGATATTGGACTAGGGAGCTGGGCCAAAAGCCACTGGCTTCTTGCTAATTGACATTTTTACTTCTTTGCAGGCTTTTTCAAACCCCTCCTTAAAAGAAAGAAAGGAAAAAAAAAAAAAAGACAAGTTCATTTATCAGAAGGAGGAATCTAAAACATTTGGCTCTTCCAGAGGACAGAATATACAGATTAGAAGCAGAACTGTACTTTGTAGATTCTGAGTCAAATACTTTGACTTTGCAGCTGAATTGGTTACTTTAAGGCAGTTCATCTTCATACTGAGAAGTGAAGCTGGCTTTTGTGAGCTACATTGCATGCCAGTATTTCCATTGAGAGAGGTACATCATGCAACAAACATAGTAGACCATGTTCCATAGCACATGAGCAGAGGGAATGTTGGAGGGTCTGACTTCAAAGCACATGGAGGAAACAAGGTCTCATGGTAGCAGTTTTTTTTTTTTTTTTAATTTTATTTATTTATTTGACAGAGAGAGACACAGCGAGAGAGAGAGAGAGAGAGCACAAGCAGGGGGAGTGGGAGAGGGAGAAGCAGGCTTCCCACTGAGCAGGGAGCCCGATGTGGGGCTCTAACCCAGGACCCTGGGACCACGACCTGAGCCGAAGGCAGACACTTAATGACCGAGCTGGAGCCACCCAGGTGCCCCAGCAGTTCTTATTCAAGAAGAAAATGTAGTATACCTATAGGAGAGTATAAAAGATAATTTGTACTGAAACGAAGGAAGAAAGGAGCTGTTGTCTGAACAGTCCCTAAGATGAGCAAGGTGGAAAGATCACAGAAGCAGCTGGGGAACACTGTAGAAGAAACTTTAAAACACTGAAGAGGCCCCGACTCTTTAGAAAATCCATTAATACATCTGATAGAAAGAAACAAAGCATATTAAATACCAGGTCTTTACATAGAGTGAAATTAATAACTGAAACCACATATGTACACATTCAAAATAAAATTTTGGAGGAAAATCACATCAGATTCACTCAGCCTTTGATTAAGTGGATTTCTCACATGCACACATGTGTGCATACACATACACATACACAAATATGTATGTATACACGAATTGGAAGGGGATCAGGGCTGAAGAGTAAAGGGGCAGGTGTGTTGTGTAGTGTGTCATTCACTACCATCTAAGGCAAAAGTATCTGGTTGACTTTTATGAATTGACTAGAAAGGAGCCTACTTGTCTTTTTTGAATGGGGCATCTATTGTGTTTCATATTACCACATCAATTTTATTTTTTTTATCCAGTCATTCGGGCTAAAGTTAAAGAAGTAAAGACCAAGTGCCATGATGTGACTGTAGTAGTTGAGGTGAAGGAGATTTTAAAGTCTTCTCTGGTAAACATTCCACGGGACACCATTAACCTTTATACCAGCTCTGGCTGCCTGTGTCCTCCACTTAATGTTAACGAGGAGTATATCATCATGGGCTATGAAGATGAGGAACGTTCCAGGTAATTCACTCCCTAAGGATTCAGAATAATTGCTGTGTCTATCCTTTCTTTATTGCATTTCTCTAGACCTCTCACTCTGGGTTTCTTACCTGGGGCTCTGTCTACCTTCTATGGGCTTATAGCTAGGTTTTTTTGGGTCCCTCAATATCGTGTATTGGATAGAAAAGTGTCTGTGTGCAATTTGTGGGCATGCATTTTTCTGGGGAGAGGGATCATAACATCATTTCTTCTTAAATGAGTCCATGACTCCCCAGTTATTAAGAATTACTGTTCTAAAACTTGGCTGTGCTAGTCTAGAGTAAATAGTAAATCTTTCTTGACAACGATTCCTTGTGTTTTTCAGTAATATATTTTAATTTTTCAAAAATGGTTGCTTCTTTAAAAAATACAGATTACTGTTGGTGGAAGGTTCTATTGCTGAGAAATGGAAGGATCGACTTGGTAAAAAAGTTAAGGTAAGCCTGTATTTTATGTTGAAAGTGATACATAAAAATAAAAGTAGGAAACCAGCCATTTGTCATTTAAACAAAGAGTTGCCCTTAAGAGCATGAGAAATACTGAAACCTGAGATGTGTGTGTCTGTCTGACTGTCTGTCTGTGTCTGTGTCTCAAATTCTAAGGACGGAGATTGTTTTTAATGTCAATGTAATTTAAGGAGTGAATTCTCTGTAAGTGCATCAGAGATTTCGCCAGAGTTGCCTCACTTCGCACAATGAGAAATCTGGCTGTGGTTAGTCCAGTCCTGGTTGGGTGGCTCCACATTATCATTAGGGCTCCAGGATCCTCCTAGCTTCCTGTTCTGCCATTTAAAGGGTACTGCTTCAGCGCAGTTCCATGTTCACCTGGAGGTCACAAGATGGCTGCCTACCTCCAGCATCACACCTATATTTCAGGGAGAAAGAAAGGGAGGTAAAAAGGGCTTTCCAAGGGGCTCCTGGGTGACTTAGATGGTTAAGCGTCTGCCTTCGGCTCAGGTCATGATCCCAGGGTCCTGGGATCGAGCCCCAGGGAGCCCACTTCTCCCTCTCCCCCTGCCTACTGCTTCCCCTGTTTGTGCGTGCTCTCTGTCAAAAATAAATAAAAATCTTTAAAAAGAAAAGGGCTTTCCAAGTGCCCCATCTGGCAATTTACATGTAGGTTTTAGTCTCCCATCCATCCCTAGCTGTAAGAGAAGCTGACAAATATAGTTTTTTAGCTGGACATGTTGCTTCCTTGAACTAATTGTAGTTCTGTGAGTCAAAGAAGAAGGGGAGAATAAATGATGGGCAGAAAACTACCAAGGTTGTCCCAATTCAGAGACACCAATTCCTCTGTACAAAATGAAGCCACATTCATCTGTATGTAAGAGATCTGACCGAATCACGTCCTTTAGAGCAGTAATGGAGCTTTATTTTTAAGCCAATGATTCTTAGATTCTGGAAATGTTGCATTTTCAAAAAGCACAGTAAATGACCTTATTATAGAAAGTTAGAAGGTTTCATTTCTTCTTACTATACTAAACAAATCTGTTTCAAAGAAAGGAATGTATGCATGGAATTGAAAAAGGTGTGTGTGTGTAGTGGGCAGGGAGGGAGAAAGAAAGAGTGGGAATTGTACCAAACATAATACATCCCCTTCCTTCTGTGAGTTTGAAGGCTTGGGAAACATTTACAGGGTAAGTTAAATACCCCTGGGCAGTTTATCTTCTACATCTGGCACTTGACAGAGCAGACACATTTGAGTTTAAGTGACCTACAAAAATGTAAAGGGCATTATTTTGCAGGGAGAAACTACCCTTTGGTAAGTTCTTTTTTCCCCCAGTATATTTGTCAAAAGTGAGATGTATTTCAAGTTCAGACTTGTGGGAATTCTCCATTTGTATCTCTTTTCAATTACTTTGGTGTTTATTAAAGAGTGTCTCTTCTTCAGGAAATTGGAATCTCTTACTGTCCTTTTAATTTGGTTTTCTGCTTGCTAATGCAGAACAGGAATTTGTCCTAAATTCCTGTACCAGTTGGAAGAGCTTTCAACATCCCTGCTGCAAAGCATGTAACGAGGCTTGCTGCTTCTCTTTTGGTACCAAAACAATGACCATCATGTAAAGACCCAGGACACACGGCTTGTTTATCCTATTTCTTAGGCAAACATATTTTCCATTGCTTTCTACAGGAGGCTCACAGAGTTACTGTGAAATCTTTTATATTCTCAGTCTGGATTTAAACATGCTAAAGGGAAGAATTAAACCAATAATGTGAACAATTTTTAATTCATATACAGATACTCATGGCTAAAGATCTTGGATAGAAAATCTCTTTAGGCTAGAATTATTGAGGTTCTTACTTTAGTTTTCCAGTCAATTTGAGGATGTAAAAAAGAGTTTTATGGAGGATACCAATTTTGTTTTGTTTTGTTTTTCAAATAAGAATTGCCCTCTTCAGCTGATTTTTTTTCTTTTTGCTCAGTGAATAGAATAAGAAATAAAGACCTTCTTATGGTTTTGCCATACAAATGGTTGCTTACCTAAGTCTCTTGATACAGCAGGTTGTTCAAATCAAAATATTTGGTCTGCCTTGGGCAGCTGAGAATCAGACTATTTTTTAATAGGAAAAACAGTAAGATTGTGGAGTAAAGTATGCTAAAATGAAGAATTATTTGCAGTAATAGAAAAATGATAATTTATTATGTACTAAGCCCTTTATGTATTTTTATTTATCTTCAGAACAGTCTTGTAAGTATGTTCTATTATTAATTCCAATGTGTTAATGATGAAGATGAGGTTTAATAAGTTCAAGAAACTTTGCACAGTAACTGATGGAATTAGAATTTGAACTTGGGCCATCTGACCTTAGTTCCTTGCTGCTCGAAGTGTGGTCTCCGGACCAGCAACACTGGCATCACAGGGGAGCTTACTAAGTATGAAAATCTTGGGCCCCATCCCAGACCTACTGAATGAGAATCTGCAATTTTAATAGTATCTCCAGGTTATTTCTATCTTTATTGAAATTTGAGAAGTACTGCTGTAGTCCTTATTCACTACCTATAATACCTGAAATAGAACTTCCTTTTAATTTATTATTTTATTTTTATTATTTTACATGTAGACACTCTTGGCATTGTTAATATGAAATATTAGTGAACTTGATTTGTCCAACTTTGAGTGCAGAACCTTGTCTGTTGTGATTGTTGCACTTGGTAGAGATTACTTGGAAATATATTTTTAAGAGATCCCATTTGCCCCCCAAATTTCCATTTTTTTCACTGCTTAAATCACATATGTTTTAAAAGGCTGTGTTCTGATGTGTCATCAGAGAAGAAGACGAAAAATAGCCCTTTGAATTCTGTGTGTAAAACTTTCATTTCTTGATCACCAGGGGCGTGCCAGACTGTGTATGTTACCTCCAGAAATACCCGCAGATTTGGATAGATATTTGTGTCACCATTAGACATGGAAATTTTAAGTTTAAGGTTTGTTATGAAAACATGACAGACATATTCTAGGTGGCCACTGTTGTGATTTTTATGATCAGAGAATTATGTCCATATAAACATCATTGGATGACAAAATTTTATACTTTTTTTATGATCAGAGAATTATGTCCATATAGCATCACAGGATAACAAAATGTTATACTTTTGGAAAATGCTTTTGAGATCTGACTTTGCGGTCTCACTAAGTTGTTAGAATAATAGAAATGATGACCCTGGCAATATGCGCATGCGACCATTTTCTGTTTTAAATTTCACAGCGCTGGGATATGAAGCTCCGTCATCTTGGACTGAATAAAAGTGATTCTAGCCATAGCGATTCCACTCAGAGTCAGAAGTCTGGCCGGAACTCCAGCCCCCGGCAAGCACGCAACTAAATCCTGAAATGCAGAAAGAACATCAGTGGACTTCCTATTAAGACTTGCGTTGCTGGACCAGCAAAGGAAAATTGCACTATTGCACGCCATATTCTATTTTTTACCACAAAAATCATGTGGTAACTGATATTACTTCTATTTTCTCTCTTGTTTTCTGTTTTTCTCTTCCCTCCCCCACCTCCTTTTTTTGTGGTCTGAGTGCAGATCCTTAAATATATGCATTCTGTTTCACTAATCCTGGGAAAACTGTTCTTTGCAATAATAATAAATTAAACATGTTGATACCAGGGCCTCTTTGCTGGAGCAAATGTTAATTTGCTGTTCTGCACCCAGATTGGAAATGCAATATTGGATGCAAAGAGAGTTTTCTGGTATCCACAGAAAGCTAGATATGCCGTAAAGCATAGTCTGCTCATCCAGTTACCATTGCCTCATTTTCACATGCCTTTTGGGCATTCTCTTCATGCTTAAAAGTTTTGAATGTTTATAAAGGTAAAATGGCAGTTTGAAATCAAATGCCACACAGGCAAAGCAATCAAGCACCAGGAAGCATTTATGAGGACACGACACACAAGATTAATTATTTGCAAGATTGGCAGGAAGCAAAATAAATAGTGGCAGGAGCTGGGGAAAGAACATTTCGCCTGATTGAGAAGCACCACTGAAACCAGTGGCTGTTGGGGTGTAAACAGTAGCATTTTTCTTTGGGCAATACATTTGATTTGTTTATGAATATATTAATCAGCATTAGGGAAGTAAATTATAACTAGACATCTGCTGTTGTCAGTGTGGCTCTGTTAAATTTGCTTCCCTTTAAATAAACCCATTGGTGTAAGTCTTTTTTTCCCCATCTTTTAAAATAAATCTTGACTTGCTGCATTGACCAGGAAAAGAAAGTATGTATGCATGTGCACCGGGGTGTTATTTTTAAAAGATACATAGCTCTATAAATTGCTGTAGTTTGCAGGATGGTAAAATGTGTGAGGGTGTGCGTGTGTGTGTGTGTGTGTGCACTCACACCCAAGCTGTACTGAATTACAGGCCTGTACTTTATCATTTGGATTTGTGCTGTTTAATGCTCAGTAAAATATGCCTAATAAAAGGAATTCTGGTTGTCAGGAGAGAGGTTTTTCTGACTTTTGAACCAAATGCACAATCTCACTAGCCAAGCTGCAGTATCCCCAGGGACCTTGGGGAACAACGGATACTTTTCCTTCCTTCTTTCCTCCAGAGGGGTTCTTCCCTTCAATTTACATATTTGATATGAGCAGAATCAAATTTCTAAGCTATGGTATGCTGAAAATAAAACATTTATGAAGGAAAACGGTGCTGTGCTTCCTTCTACAAGGGCAATCGTGCCAGAATGAAATTCATTCTGCAACAAACATTTCCCCAGTAGTAAATAATTCCTCTAAATTCTCCCTTCTGAAGGTAAAAGAACATCCTGACTTGCCAGCTGATGCCCAAGCCCTTACGGTTTCTGGAATTCCAGAAGAGTTCCCACCTTTGCCTCTGTGAAGACTGCATGCTCTTTTGAGCTGCCCGATGGTTGTTATTGGATAATTTGGCCACATGCCCTTTGGGCTTTATTCTCAAATAGCTAGAGCAGGTGCATCTCTTTCTAGATGCTGCTGTCATAGCCTTAAAAAGGTGAGTTTGGGTGTCACAGGGTAGTTGTGAAGTGGTACAAGGGAAGAACTGCACCTTGGGATCTCTCATCATGATGTTGATGCCTCAACTTGAGCTTCAAGGATTGAAGACTGGAAAGTTGTGCTTCTTCATTGTCCTGTTTCTCTCATGCGTTTTTCATGTTCACTATGGGCAGAAGGGCAAGAATGGACCGTAGGAGATTGAAAAGAATCGGTTTCTCAAATCCACAAAATGTCATCATCTCTTCCAAAGCATAGTAAAGAAGACATTTTTTGAGAGAGCGAGAGAGTGAGAATGGGGGAGGGGCAAAGGGAGAGGGAGAGAGAAAATCTTAACCAGGCTCCAGGCCCAGTGCGGACCTGGACACGGGGCTCGATCTCACGCCCCTGAGATCACGACCTGAGCCAAAATCAAGAGTCGGTCGCTTAACCAACTGAGCCTCCCAGGTGCCCCACCCCCAATAGTAAGAGGAGTCTTAAGTGATGAAATATTTTGATGTACAATGAAAGACCCAGATGGGTCCAGCCCATGCAGTATTTTTTCAGGGCTGGGGGGGAGCAGTGGTCAGGTGGTAGCATTTAGTTTCTGTGTAGAGATGTGACACAGTTTATGCTCAGAACATATACAGTTGTAAACAAAAGAGCGCTCCATTTTTGGATTCAGCTGTGATCTTTGCCACCTTCCCTTTAGTGGTCTCTACAGGCAAGGCTTAATTTTGCTTATCTGTGTGGGGTTCTGTCAGTTAAAGTTTCCAATGGCACTAGGTCCATGAATAAAATGCTTTTGGTATTTCAGTTTGATAGTTGCAGTATCTTCATTAATAAATTATGTGCAGGCCTCTTTTGGGAGATAACATGATTTTCATCATGATGGTCGTGTTTCTAATCAGACTGCAAAATCACTTCTACTCTGCAGTTGCCATAATACAAATGCATCTTATTAGTGCCTCTGTCCAGGCTTTTCTGACAGGTACTAACTTTCAAAGCCACTAAAAATTTAATATATATGTACCCTTGTTGGTAACCTTGAGACTTACAGAGTTAATTTAAAATTTCTTTGAAAAATTTTGTTCACCTTCAGGATTTTAATTTCCCCAGCCAAGTAACACCACCAAAATATTAGGTGTGTGCTGAATAGACTAGCACAAATTAAAATAACAGCAAATTTGGATTCTCTTCACAGATATGTGAGTATTTACTGTGTCACATATAGAGTGTAATCTGATTCGGTTCCATATGTTGCACTGAGCATTTGGGGCTGGGGTGGGACAAATCTGTGGCTTTCCACATCTGTTCTGTATTAAGAAGGCAAATACAAAAATTACAATCACTGTGAGTAAATACCACTACTTATTGCCTTCTGTAAGAAATTACTTGCTATTATTTTTTCAACAAGTAAAATGACAAGTATTTCAAGATTGGTGTTTATTCAGACTGTAAGCTTTAATATTTAAAAAATATAAGCCTTCAAGAAGATGGTAAAAATGAGATAGAGCAGAGATTTCTAATACTGTTCCGGAAATCCAACTGATAGAATTTTTGAACATGGTTCCCAGCTGTATTAATAAGAAAAAATGGTATAGTCAGACCTTTCTTTAGTTATCTCTTCGGGTGATAATATCTAACGGTGGCTAGAGCTTTATAGAAAACACCTGTATTGTATTACCTCATGTAATCCTTGAAAGTCTGTGAAGTAAGGATTATTTCCATTTTACAAATGCAGAAATCAAGGCCTTAGAACTCAGAGTTTTGTAAGTAGCAGAGCTGGGCCTCAGACTCTCTTATTTTTATTTCCCAAGTTATATGTTTTCCACTATTGCAAATGCTGATAAAAAGATCAGTGCATCCTGACATTGTAAAAAAGCATAAGGTCAGGCATGGAGCAGGCTACTAATGTTTTTTCTTAAACTGAGGTCTCCCGACTGCATGCCAGAAATCATATATAATATAGTTCCAATTCTGATCCCAAGTACTGTCGTTTTTGCTTTTCAGTTTTCCTTGCCTACAAAATTAAAGTTTCAATGGAATGATTCTTATAGAGGATGAGCAGGTAAATGAACAATTAAAGTGATTCTTTTGGTATTAATAGTTTGGTTTGTTTTGGCGTTAATAGTTTAGAGATACGTGATTCTCAGTAGGAAAAAAATGGTATTTTCCCTCTAAGTTTCTGTTTTCCCTTGAATTTGGAGAGAAGTGTGGAGTTAATAGTATTTAACAAGGTCGGGAAGAAAGTTGAAATTCAAAGTTGATTGTTGACTGGTTACCACAAATAAAACCAGATTGGCTACTTCCCACTGGAAAGTCTTGTTTCTCATTCTCAGATCTTCCTACCACCAGCGTCTTCCACAGCCAAGAAAGAAAACCTAATTCTTCCTGCTTTTCTTTCATTAAACATTTTTATTATGACAGGGATTCAACAGTTGAAAGACAACTAAAGCTGGTTTTTTTTGGGGGGGTGGATAAAGTGCAACCGTTATTTGTTGTTTCTACTTTGAATGGCGGGTGTTGAGAACACGAGGAGCTATAAAGAAGGAAAAGACGTGCTCAGGGAAGCTTGTCCAGTCCAAAAGGAAAGGATATGTGGACTGTGGAGGCTAAATCATAAATGAAAGCAAATGTAGAAAAGAACTTCCCACTAATCTCAAGGCTGTGGAGGGGAATGACAGCTCTTGGTAGCATAGCGGTGCTGGGGCTGCCCTTCCAAACAGCACCCCTCCGCACACACTTAACATCATGAAATGGGATTGAATGGGCTTGTAGTGTTGGGTCTTAGGAAAATTGGGGGCATCAGCAAGGGTAGGTTGGGGTGACACATGAAGCTTAGGATAGCTCTGAGATGGTAAATAGTCTGTGAAACAGAGAACAAAGTTATTTCTTGTCTATACTAGATGGCAAATAAAACTAATAACGTTGATGTGGTTCAGTCTAATTTTATTCCTACATTATTTTGGTGACTCTGGTGTGGGGGGGGAATCAGGGCTTCTCTGAGATAGGATCCCTATATAGTATTAAGAAGAGAATTTGAGGTAAATACTTATGACTTAACTGGACAAAAGAATAGATGGATATAAACAAAATCTCTACTGCAGAACTCTTTCCCTGTGACTTATAATTCAAGTATATATCAAAGCTTTAAAAAGAAGCATGGAGCTCAGAAATATTATACCCACAGAGATTGCATTGTCCTGTCTGTGCACATTTATCTCTTTCCTCTTGTTCATTCTCCCCTATTCTGCTTCTCGTATTGCTCTGCTCATTAAATGAAATACAGGCCTGTAGGAAGTATATGCAGAATTGCTAGAAAATCAAGCATGAAATAAACAGAAGAGATTGACATTCTTTAAGCCCATTGATCAATATCCATGAAGCTCATCTGAATTTCTTTGAAGTTACTAGTTCAGGCAGTCTTGTCTTTAGCTTCTCTTATATACCCAATACCAATGGTCTGAAACTAGAGGTGCCAGCACTCCTTCCTTAGAAACATTCGATCATTCAAAATGGCCCCCTTATCACACCTTGAAAAGAACTTTGAAGTTAGGGCACCTGGATCCAAATTCTTGCTTTGCAACTTACTGGCTATTTAGCCTGCTCTCCAAGTTCTAAGATCAGGTGAGTGGAGCTGGGCAGAGCCTGTTGAGCAGTGCCTGGAGCATGGTAAGTGTTTAATAAATATCAGAATTATTCCACATTTTACTCTTGAATTCTCTCTGTAAGGTCCACAGTTCTCAAACAGGGCTCTACTGAGTGCTTAACCAGCTGAGAAGAAAAAGTGGCTTCCAAGAGATCTTACACCCTGCCCTGCTCTCGCTCCACCATCTTTAAGATGCCAAACTCAAAAAATTCCCTTCATTCATTCGCAAATTGAAGAATGAAATCCTCTTTCTTTTCTTCTTCTTCCTAAGCAGATGTGCTTAGACAGTAGCATGGTCAGGAGACAAGATGAACACTCATTCAATTAAGAAAGATACGATTCTGGAAAAACCACATAATACTCAATTCTACAAATACTTCTATAACTGATAAATATTTGTTTTCTTCCAAATAGGATTTATTTTGGAAATAAAAAAACCAAGATGCTTCTCTAATCACTTTTAAATACAGAGGATGGTAAACTAATGGGAAGCTTAACATCTTTATGTTGGTTTTCTCTACGGAGATGCCAACCTCCAGACTGATTCACTTAATCTTCCAGCTTTGGAAGTTGGTTTTTATGCTTTGCTGTTATTCACTGTAAATAATAGATTATTTCACATAGAGGAACAAAACAAGTAAACCAATGTTTTTCTTAATGTTATTGGTAAAATCTTGGTCCCCAAGAACGGTTATTGTTCATTGTTTAGGTGAGCAAGAAGACATCTCTTGCAAAGATATGTGTTCTCAATGTGAGCTGAATTTTGTCAGAGGAGCTTCTTGGTGTTTTTCATTTCCTAGAGAGTTCCAGAAGTACTAAAATTATATCGAGACGAAGTGTT